TAACTTAAATTATTGCTATTGAACGTGACTTTGTAAGCCTCCTTGCCCAAGATCAAACTAGACTGCAGAATGCCGGCCGGCCGGCCAGACAGCTAGTCAGCCAGCTGTATACATATATAAGAATTAGTGACAGTCTGCGCCCGCCTATTAAGTTCGCCATGTAAACAGCTTTAAGCTAAGTAGAAGCTAGAACAGAAACGAAAGGGAAACTCACGTTGCACATTGCACATTGCCTCTTAGCCTCTCTTTCTCTCTCTCTCTCTCTTTCTCTCTCTGGGCAACTTGAGCTGATTACACAACTGTTGTCTGGCTAGTGAAATTAACTCGTGTGTGTTTTTCTATATACTATATACGCATACATTATATATCTATACATATATGTAGATGCATATGTATGTGTATATCTATCTATTCGCAAGTATTTCTATCATTCAAGCAGAATCTCGTGTTCACACACGTCACAAACGCTCGACTACAAGGAAAAATAACAACAAACAACACACACATACATAGATAACATACACATATACATATATAAATATACTATATGCAGCATAAATGCCCACTTTATCGATATAAATAAACTAAAACAAATTGTGACAGGCAAGCATCTCACTATATAGTATATACAATAGATGATATATGAATGCACTATATATACGATGTACCAAAGACCCTTTTCAACTTGAGTGCATTTCACAATTGCCGCGAGCAAATTGCTCTCGAGTTGCAGTTTGCAATTTGCACATGCTTATCAGATTGTGTATATATGTAAATATATATGCATACATATATACTTTTCGTATTTGTTATATATTCGCATGTAGGATATAGCTGCAGATTTATCTGCGTCTATTTGGCTGGCGCCCATAATTTTGTTTTATTTATGTTTCTCATGACCTATGTTAAAGGTGTTAAAGGGTATATGCATTGATATCAGAGTTAAATGGAAATATTTATATAAATGTGTTTACATAATACTATGAATAGCTACTGATTTACATAGATTCGTAACGTCTCTCTATTTATTTAAATATATACATAAAAGTGAGAAGAATCTGTTATCTCCCATTTGCAGAACTCGTTTAAAATGAATTGCAGGGTATTTGTATAGTTGGTCACTCTCTAAATTTGTCGCATGTTTTGTTGTTGGTGTCCACTTTTGTTTTCACAGAAACAAACAACGACAAATGCGGCCTGGCATTAGATTTGTTTTGGTTTTCTGTCGACCGTCGCGACGCCTCTATAAGGCAGGTGAGGAGGGAGCTAAACTTTTTCTGGCACATTGACTCAGTTGAAGGCGATTGCAGCTAAATAAACAACATTGCTAATAAGAAGCAGATATAGACCTAGATAGAAATAGAGATAGTGGATTTAGGAAAGACAAATATGGATATGGGTTAAAGGTTATAGGATGGAGAGCAGAGCTTCAAAAATTAGGGATAAATCGTGATAGAGGAAGCTGACAGGAGAAAAAATCGGCATATGACTAAAAAAATTTTAATAGATAAGGGAGCATTATTTACATACTTCATCTAGCTGTTTGTCCATCACATGTGGAAAAATTTCCATGTCTAATTGTTTTCTATCCAGCATTAACTTTTCTTTTGTACGCAACTTGAGTTTCGATCGGTCGAGCAAACATTTATATATATTTTATTGTTTTGCTTTGACCAATGTTTTATTTTAGCTTTAAGTTGGTTTGCGTGCCTTAACGCACGTACGCAATATGTTGAGGTAATCTCATTTCTCGGCTCTCTCTCTCCCTTTTCAAAATTATTACTGCTTGAAATCTAAAATTTCTATTGAATAAGTATATTATAATCGTAATTAATTAACTAAATTTTTATTTATATACAAAGTAAAAATAAATCGAAATGACAATTTTTCGTGGGGTTTTCTTCTGTGTGTAAAATGTGCGCTAAATTATGTCAAGGGCGAAATTTTTAAGTATGTACATACATATATATTTATATATCTATCACTAATGAGGAAGAGATTGTTTATATAAAGATTATATATATGTATATGCAGATATATATAGCACATTTGATATGAATAAACTTGGCATTTTAGATAAACAAATTCAACGTGTGTTGAGCGGCAGAGGAAGAGAATTCTATTTACAAACAAACATGAATATGTGAGTTTCGCATAGGCGAATATATGTATATACATATGTATGAATAGGTTCAGTTTAGAGATACTCTTTATCATGGTCATAATTCTAAAGATAGTTTAATATAACATATAATAATAAAGATTAGGGTCATAATAGTTTCTATTATCAGTTAAAATTAGTTCAGATTCAAATGATTTTCATAATGATGAAATGAATTGTAATTATATTCAAATTGAAATGATTCAAACTTTACAAATTATTATTCTTATAAATATCTTAATAACATTTTATAAAAACAAATTAATTAAATATAATTATCAGTACTATCATTATGACTATCATTATGATTGTCAATCTCTTGAGTATTACTATTATCAGCATTGTCAAGTGGAAGTTATAGTGATAATGAACAATGTGGAAAATCGGATAAGTTGAAGAATATAAATTTATATACATACATATACATATATAAAATACTATACAAATTTTATACATATAAAACGATCGGTTTAGGAACAAAACAAACAGCTATCCTATTTTACATATAAACAATCCATAATTAGACAGGAAGTTATATAGATCAGTTGATCGAACCATGTAGAAAGGCATACTATATATAATATATAGTATATTCTCATGGAAGATTCCGTATCAAGTTCATTGCTAAAGCAAATTATCGCGTGCATTTTACTCAAAGAGCTGGTGAATCGGTCATGAACGAACAATCATTCAAGGCCTGAACATATTCATGACCTATTGAAATAGATTTTGCTTTATGAACCACTAAACAAGTCCAACAAACGTTTCCCCAGTCTCATTCACTGATCAAAGAACAAGTTCATTTAATTTAATTCGTTGTCAAGTCAAAATTAACATTTTGACTTATATATCAGATATACATACATACATATATGTATGTATATGCAGCCCTCGTCGTCGTATCTTGAACTGCATTCGACTGCGAGCATTACAGACTACGATATATACATACAGCCCGAACTCAATGGCCCCACACACGCCTACAGATCGTATGAAAGATAAGGAAGAGAGAGGAAAATACTTTGTTACTGAATTGTCTCGGAAGCCGTAATACGCCACACGCGCCAGATGAGTATCGAAATTTTCCTTCTTCTTTTTTTGGCAGGCAGACGTTACCGAATTCGTATGCGAATGCGAATGCGAATGCGAATGCGAATGCAATCGGGCCTCGTGAATCGCGCCTTGCAGGTGGCATGCCACGAATGCCGGGCATGTTCTGATAACAGCTTTGCTCTAGCCACTTTTTACCTGATATACCAATGCGTCACGGGCGACTTTGACTCCCGAAATGTTCTTCTTCTTCTCTTCTTTATATATATATATATATATTAATTGCGCCGTTGGTGGCAAATCTTATCAACGCATTTTGACGTCGTCTCACCAAAAATCTCCCATTTTTTGCGCGTTTTGCAGACACGCTAAAATGTTTTGTTTGATAACAAAAAAATTTAATGCGAAATTACGAAATCGATGGAAAGTTTTTGTTTATAGGTCAGGCCGACCTGAGCGATGAAAATTGTCTACGAGATTTTGAATTAGAAAAGACTAATAATATAAAGATAATGAAATGGGCGTAAATTCGAATGAGAGAAATGTAATTTTTACTATGAGAGATGAAGGAATATCAACTAAAAAAGCAGTGAATAAGAAATGATGAGGGCTACATTAAAGTTGAATTCGATTCGTGAACTACGAAAGTTTGTTGAACTACTTATTGTTTAATAAAACAAAGTCTTATTTCAATAGATTGTGAATATATTTTTGTGTCAGCTCCTTCTCTTTCAAGAGCTACAGCTCGTTAACTAAGCTCACTCGTTCAGTTTAATTCAATTGAATCAGCTGTTGAATAATTGAATAACTAAGCAATATGAATGTTAATGAATGGGTAAATAGGTGAATTAGTATTGAGATAGTTGTACGTCTTTTGGTTAGACACGCAATAAGTAGACTCTGCTAGCTTCACTCTCTACGGTTCTCTTTGCAGCCATGAAATTCTTGACAGCCGACAGCGTAGTCTTGCTAGGTTCTTGAAATAGCCATAGCTATACAGATGCGCAGCTGCTTACAGTTTGCCCACTTGCTGTTGGGTAATATTCAATATATATGTATATGGTATATAGACATATATGGTGTGTTGGCTTTATATATATATATTTTGTAAATATTAGTTGTACAACTGAACTCTAAACTGAACATAATCAAATTACATAATGAAGTGGAACAAGTTAGTATTTAATCTGAATCTGAACCAATTAACTCATTAGTATTGCGTTCCATTCATTAGATCTATAAACATATTTGATTACAACTCGTTATTTTGTCACAATTCACTGATTTCTTTTGTCGCATTCCACAGTCGAGTTAAGTGACTTTTATTTATATTTATAGGTATATGTATGTATGTATGTATATAGATAATAGCACATCTGTCATCTGTTTGTCCGGTCGTCTCTTGATTTATATTGAATTTCTCACCCACTGCTCTATTGTTGCCGCTAATGGTGAAATTCAATAGACGTCTGCTACCGCATTTCTCGCTAATAAGTCGATACAATTTGCATAATAATTATTGCTCTCATTATTTATTGTTGCCTTAGCTGTGGCGTTACAATGCCAGCGGCTCTGTCTATAGGGTCAATCGGGCAGCGTCTTCCAAATACCGAAACATATGGCGTGTTTCGATGTCTGTACAAGTTTGCACCGGTTGCTCGGGCTCAATTATGTCACAGGCCGTTGGCAGATGCCAGGCTCCGATTTATTTTCCCCATTGTCTACACCGACTTATAGAATGTGTATTTGTCGAACATAAGTCAAGTCGAATCTGGATGTCTGGATGCCTGATAAGCACACGCGGCTTTGTTCGGCATTGGCAATTCATTTGGTTGAGGCACGGCGGGTTATCAGCCAGCGCAGGGGTCAACGTAAAGCCGGACAAAACCGGTTTGCCTGCCGTCCCTACTGTAATCACAACTCGATTTGTGAAATTGTTTACTAGTTTTTATACTGCCTAGAGCCTAGAGGGGCAAGTGCCATTGGGGGGACTCTGATCTGCGGCATGATTAGCATTAAATGCTCTGAACTCTTGATAAGATAAGAGTCAATAATATGGGACAGCTTATAGAATATTTTTTCTATATGTACATATAACTATATATAAACAGTATAGGTCCTTGACTATCTTAGATATCCGCTGATTTGGGCTGTACTATAGCACTATAGATAATTGAAATCAATCACTTCATTGAATTTTCTCTATTGTGCAACAAAAGAGTGCTCTATTCGGGAGTGCTCGACTAGGATACACCTTACATGTTGACATCTGATTTCACATATATTCCTGTATATATGTTTATTAAAATTTTGTTGTTGGCTTTGTTTGTTCGTTGTTGTCGACATCGCTGCCTTCCGTCCTTTCATCGATCAAACTTTCTCTCCGATATACTTTACTTCTCATTAATTCACGAGCCTGACAAATGCAAACAAGGCAAAAATGCGGTAGACTAGGTAAAATCGCTTTTGTTTATCGTATTCATTGTCATGAGAAGTCTAAAATGAGTAATGCGAGTTATACAACAATTTTGATTTAATTGTATTACGTTTTTTCGTATGTTTTTCCTAACTATTTACTAAAGAGATAAGAATACCCTTCTTTGTTTTCTTTATCGAAATTTATATACATAAGATTGCCAAGAGTGAGGTAAGAGATCTAACGGTAATGGTTTCCATTATAGGATAACATAATACCGATATTTTCACACAATGAAAAATGTATGTGCCATGGATGATATCATCAATGATTATATAATATCTGTTATTATACATACAACAGATGTCGAATGAGATTTTTAATGCATTATAAAGTGCATTCCGAACCAAATCAATTTCGTATGTTAGCTGTAAATCTATCAAACTATAATGGCAAAAGCTTTTCAATAAGGAAATGCGTAAACAATTATATATAAAGAATTATATGTATTATATTAGATATATTTAGAATATTGCTACAAAGGAAAAAATAATCTTTGTGTTCAATTTGCCAAAATTTGTCTCAATGTTTGTTCTGATCGCATTTCAACAATTTGCATAACGTGTAGCACTTGTACAGTAGAAGCTCACTAGATAGATATCTCTATAAAGCTGTAGATATTTAGAATTGATCGAGGAACTATACATTTACTATTTTATTATTATATTTATCGCTTACCTAATCCAATTGATGATGAAAGAAGTAAAGCAATCAGATATTTACGCATGCTTGAGGTTGTTCGTTAGAGTCGCTTTTGCTGTACTTGTATTTTTAGAAGTCGTGCCAAAAATTTAAGATTTCTATTTACTGAAGATTGATATACTCGATTTATACAAAAAAAGAAAAAAAAATATATAGATCTTATACTTATAAGTCTAGGCTTTAGAACTTTTCGTGTTATATAATGATTTAAGATTTAGATATGAACAATTTTAGATACGTGCAGATCTGTCCTCTTTCTTTTGTAGACTAATAATAGGTCCAGGAAAGCCATGGAGAGTACAGAGAATTATGCCCTAGTATATACATATGTGATGAGTTTTTTTCTAAATAGGAAATTCCACACACCAAGGTTAAATATATGCATTTTTGTGCGTGGAAGACTGGAGTACGAAAGTGTTCCAACATATCTAATCTTATCTTTTGCTTATCTGGGTTTTCCTTGCAGATCCGCTGGCACAGTTGGTGCTGTGGTCACATGTCCCTTGGAGGTGGTCAAAACGCGTCTGCAGAGCTCGACGGCGTTTCTGCCCACGGCGACGACGACGCGCATTGTCGAGCCAGCTGGCGGACCGGCGAATGGCGGCGCCTCTGAGCTGTTGCGGCCGGAACAACGACGTAAGCTAAGCACAACGATATTACGTAACAGATCACAGCCACAGGTGATTGGGGGTGTGCGTAGGGTAGTACCAAATTCTTATTATTGTTATTATTTTCATATTCACTCCATTCTCCATTCCACTGTTCTTAACCATCGTCGTATGCTCGAGTACTTCATGTCCATTGCATTGCCAGTTATCGATAGACTCGCAATTATAATCGATATTGTTTTTACAGATAATGGCTATATCACATTGCGGCATCTCCTCGACTACCCCAAAATCCATGAGTATCATGCAGTGTCTCCGGTAAGTAGAGAGAGAGAGTATTTAGGCAAATTTGAAAGAAAAACTATCGAACGATAATCACATTTGCTATCGATTGTGTAGGCATACAGTCAAGGTGCTCGTCTCTTCCCATTTTCCCCATTTTACTCACAACTGTTTTTCCAGTTGAACTCCAATTCTAAATTTGGCAACGAAATTATATCGAACATGATATCGATAACTCAGTCACTTGCATAGCTTTCAAGTCATTTTGCACTGGAACCACTTAATTGAACATTATTGAACTAGTTTTAGTTCAGCTTCGCACATTGTCCAGCACTGGATTACAAAATGTACTATTTTGAATTAATTCTTGCCGCTCTACAACACTAATTGCGTATTTATTTCATTGCTATCTAGATACATTGTACAAAATGAAGGTCCCCGCGCTCTGTTCAAAGGTCTTGGACCCAACCTGGTGGGCGTGGCCCCATCGCGTGCCATTTACTTTTCCACCTATTCACAGACAAAGAACTCGCTCAACAGTTTGGGGTAAGTAAAAGTAAAATTGTAAAACAAATCGTCATATGATGATTGCTAATATATTTTATATGGTTTATATTGATCTTCCAATTTCTAGTTTCGTTGAGCGCGATTCGCCCCTGGTTCACATTATGAGCGCTGCAAGCGCTGGCTTTGTCGCATCGACGGCAACGAATCCCATTTGGTTTGTGAAGACGCGTTTGCAGCTGGACTACAACGCGAAGGTGCAAATGACGGTGAGACAGTGCATCGAACGGGTCTATGCACAGGGCGGCATCGCTGCCTTCTACAAGGGCATCACAGCGAGCTACTTCGGCATCTGCGAGACGATGGTGCACTTTGTCATCTACGAGTTCATCAAGTCGAAGCTGGTAAATATTTATTCGAAAATCATCTTTGAAACTCCCTAAATTATGCCGTGTCCTCTCACAGTTGGAGCAACGCAATCAGCGGCATTCGGATACGAAGACTTCGAGAGATTTCGTCGAGTTCATGATGGCTGGCGCTGTATCGAAAACAATCGCCTCCTGCATTGCTTATCCACATGAGGTGGCGCGAACGCGTTTGCGCGAGGAGGGCAACAAATACCATAGCTTCTGGCAAACGCTGCACACGGTGTGGAAAGAGGAGGGTCGCGCCGGACTGTATAGGTGCGTGTTTTATACTTGCTTGTTTACCGCTTCGCGGAGTTCCCCTTCCATTATCAGAGACATAGCCTGTTAACCTTTTCAGAGAATTCCCCTCTTTGAAAAGGTGATTTACAATTATCAGAATAGCAAGCCTATATATATTGTTAATCTCTTCATGGAGCTCTGTTAATCACAGATTATAAAACAAATACGACATTTGACATAGATGAATAGATAGCTGGATAGAACCGCCCCCATAGGGATAAGTCACATAGATTCGATTTGATTGTTAAAAAGAGGAAATGCGTAACTTTACTAAAATTATTCTGATGAACTTAATGAGAAATATTTCCTTTAAATTTAAAATCAGGTTTACAAATTTGAGCTCACGCCAGGCAATTAGCTTAAATCATAAATATTATCAAGTTTATTATTTCCATATATCCATAGATTAATTATAATTTTCATGCCATGCATAGATATGGTTCATTTATAGTAGCGTAGGTTCAGGCAAGTGAAATTTTTCGATGCTTTCTGCTAATTTGCTATCAAAATGAATCGCCCACGATTTCTGGTCGACCTAGCAAAAAATTCAAAAATATTTTAAAAATATCTTTTGCGACGCATTTTGTTTCGATTCGGCTTGATTTAAGTTCATTATCACTCGCCTGCTATATATATTTTTATATGCTTTATATATATTTATATATTCGCATATGTGTACTAAATATTTAAAGTTCGTTCGCACTCGGAGCCTCTCAATATTTGCACTATCTAATTAATTTGTTTATTTTGCAGAGGCTTGGCCACGCAACTGGTGCGGCAGATACCCAACACGGCGATCATGATGGCCACCTATGAGGCGGTGGTTTATGTTTTGACGCGACGCTTTAACAATAAATCGAATGAGTTTTACGATTTTTAAGGAAACACCTTTAATGCCACGCCTACTTAGACAGAAGGAGGAACTGGTTAACAGCGAAGAAATCCAATATATGCATATATGTATATACATATGTATACCTATATATATATATGTATACCTATATATATACTGCAGCAAACTTAACTGTAATTGTAATTTAAATGTGGTATTGTTTATGTTATTTCTAGACGATTTAACCAACGAGCCGTAAGGTTTTGGTTAATTAGCTGCTAAGGCAACGAACTCTAGAGACTTACAATCAAAAACAAAAACAAAAGGAAAAAACAAAACGTTGACCGCACGAATTATATATATTCTACAATATCTGATAAGCAAGGCCAAAAACAAACAAAAAAGAACAAAAAATATTTAGTAAATGATTTCAATTGAGTTGAAAAGGATTCGCAAGCGTTATTCAAGTTCAAAAAGGCTAATTAGTTAAAAGTTAAATGTATAACTAAAAACAAGGATTGATATTTTGATATATAAATTCACATGTATATAGAGTTTTAGCATACTTCCAAACGAGAATAAACACACATATAAATATATATTTATCATGTATATTATAGTTGAAGAAAAAATGAATGTGAGAAACGTATATGTGTATATAAATACATATGTAACAAACTGCTTATAATATAGTTTATCTCGTTGCCTTCCTAGTTTCTAGATTTAAGTAAGCACAATCTGTAGTAATGACAAGAGATCGCAGTCATTAGGCGCGCAAATTTGCCGTCGTATATATATATAACTATGTACACATATGTAAATTAATCTTATTTAAACAAATTTAAAAATGAAACGAAGGGAAAATATCGGTATGCACACAGCGTATACGTAATTTGTTGTGTTAAGTTTTCTCAAATGCGATATATATTTTAGGTATTCATTAATACATTTAGTTACTTAACGATACGTTGCTGTTTATTTAGTGATTATTATATTTATACATATAATGTCACTATATATTTTATAGTGCCTTTAATCGTATTTAATTACTTAAAAATTAAAAAAAAAAAAACCCGAGCAAAGAACGAAAGAAAAGTACTGTGAATATTTGATAACAATCTTAATTGAATGGTGAAATCAATAAATAAAAATTTTTTGTTTTAAAATAAACATTGTTTATAACTAATAAATGGGTATTCGTTTAAGTGCTTTGCCTAATCTAATCTAACGCTACGTCTGCGAAATATCGCTCATAGTCCAACACGTTTGACAACCGATCTCCAGAGGCAATAAATTGTATTAAATGCTAACTTAATTTGTAGTTAGATTAAAAAGCATAGGCCCCAAATAATCTTTAGCGTTGCTGGCCAATAGGATGTGAGTTAACTAAGAGCCTATTTTCACAAGGTTATGTTTGTCCTTGCTTAAATAAGTTACTATTCGCATTTTGAAGTCTTGGCGCCATCAGCAAATAACATAAACAGATCAAAGAATTGAAGCTTGGAATTTTTACTTTTTTGTTTGGCTGTTAAAAATCTACGAACGAATTATATAAATTGACATAAAAGTCGCTTAAAAACGCTGCGCATGCGCAATATACTCTCCACTGTTAATTTAATCGTTAACAGCTCTTTTAAAATTAGCCGCTGTTAGTTGCTTCGCACATCGATAACATTTATCGATGTCAAACGGCAACAAGTGATCGCATCACTAAAACTCCAATTTTCAGTGTTTACGTTTGCTTGCGTCGTATTTTTGCCAACAACAAAATACAAATTTTAACTATTTACGGTATTTGAACACGCAAAATAAGTGATATTTTGGTTATATTAAAGCAGTGTTGTTAAAAATTGCTGCAAAACGTTGCGCATGCGCCATTCGCTTGGCCTCAAACTCGGATTTGCCCTGGTTCGTGTAATCGTTGACACTCATTTGTGGTCCACACCCCAGATTTGAATGTTAATTTCCATTTGCGTTGACAATTGAGGCCATGCTTTAAACGCGCTGCAATGCTGCTCAGCGAGCTGCACTTCTGGACAACGCAGCGCGACGAAGTGCGCATCAAGTGCAGCGATTTCGGCGCCTTCCGATATCAGCGCCAGCGCGAGCTCTCGCAGGAGCTTAGGGCGCAATCAAAGCGCGACTACACGGAGCGTCGCAATGGCTTGGCGGTCTTAAAGAACAGCCGCAAGGCGGGCGGCCGTCTAAAGGACAATCTAAAAAAATTGGAAGATCTGCTGCGCACACACAAGCTAACGCACTCCGAGTGGCAGGATGCAGCGCAGGTGCTGCTGCTCTTCGACAATGGAGTCATTGCTCACATCTGTGTGGATATCTATACGGGCGATATATTACGCATGGTATTTGACAAATATCTCGTTGGCAAGCTGGCTGGGGACCTGATCACCGATGGTGAGTGAATTGTGAAGTTGTTTGTAGTTGTGCGTGTGCTTTGCTTGGAGAAATTTGCATTTTTAACGACTTTCTCACAGCGCAACAACAAAAGCAGCCGCAGTCGCAGTCGTAGTCGCAGTGCAGCTACAGCAGCTGCGCATTCCACATGCAATTATTGTAATTTATAATTAATGCTCATGTTTTGTTTATGCACTTTGTCTTGTCTCTATTTTTTGCCGTGTTTTGCCAGCCTTTTTTACACGCTCCCACATCGTGTTGGCCTACAATACCAACCAGCTGACAGTGGTGCATTTGCAGCGACCCAATGCTCGACCCCTCGGTCCGGAGAAAATCGCGAATATGGAGCCGCGTATATTTCATGTTATTATACCGGGCCTCGCATCTGAACGTAAATTAGCACGTCATCTAACTGTAAATGGCAGCAGAGATTTGTTTGTGGTCTGGACACAATCCTCGCAAAACGAAGTGTATCCCTGGCGCCCCACCATCCGGGATCAGGATCGTGCCAATATACACATATTCAAACTGAAAGCGTAATCAAAACATCAGTTTAATTTATTCTGCTTTCTAATTGATTCAAATTACTTTGCAGCTTGCAACTGGAATCGCTGGCCTATTGTTGGTCGGAGAACGATCCGCTTTGCGTGGACTTTTTGCGCAGCTCAGAGAATCAAATCATCACATTGGAACAGAAAGTTTCCCGCAAGGGTGAGATCAGCGCTGAGATCTGCTCCTATGAATTGGCAACAGGCAAAATGCAGCGGACTGCAATTACCTCAATTGCAATGGGCACACAGATCTGTTGCTTTGCCTTCAGTCCGGATCAGGAGAAACTCTTCTTGGGCAGCATCGATCGGAATATATGCCTGCACGACCTGGTGCTGCAGACAACCAAATATGTTAAGCAAATCGAAATTGTGCCAACGCAATGTGCTTGGCATAGCGATTCAGCGTTACTCTGTGTGTCCAATGAGCGATCCGTGCTGCAGTGCTTCGACTTGGCCCTGTCGCCCATTGGCAATCAGCTGCTCAGTGAGAGCGTAACGCCGACTAATCTGCTGGACCTCTCGCATTACTTTGCCGCACAGCCGACGCTTCTCAGCATAGCGTTCAGTCGCAAGCCGGACTTGGCTAACTTCTCTCACAACTATGCGCAAACGGATTGCATGCTGCTCTTGCTGTACGAGCAAGGCCCGTTGGCCTGCCTGCGCTTCTTTGGCGGCGCCGGCATGCGTGGCGATATTCACAATTCCGGATTGACGGCTGATGTCATAGCGGACAAGTATCTGCGCTTACAACAGCCAGAGCGAGCGGTGAATGTGCTTGCCTCTCTCAATTGGGAGACTTATGGAGCCATGTGTCTGATTACGCTTCACAAGATTGCGAATTATGTTTTCTTTTCATCGGATCAGCGACGTCCGCGCTGCGATCTAATGGCCAGAGCCTTGAGCACTTTCGCTGACACGCTATCTGAGGATACAAAGGATGAGTTTAGCGATCAGGTTTATGATCTAAAGCGTCGATTCTGCTTTTTTTTGATGCGGTGAGTCGGTGTAAGAATTATAAAATATTTTAATCTGATTTGTTGCCCTCCGTTCCACAGTAAGAATCTGTTCAGCGAAGCCTTTGAAATAGCCCATGACATAGCGGATTACGATCTTTTCATGGACCTTTATAATCTGACCAAATGCATTGGAAGCTTGAGTGAATTTGCTCAGGTTGCTTTTGGACAGGCTGCTGCTATTATTCATGGCGATGATCAGGGAAATTTCAGCACGACTCTGGCCAGCGAACTACGCCCGGATTCTGTTTGCTCACAGTTGAGCTACACGACGCCCAGTCAGCAGACTGTTCTGAAAAACTATGTGCCACCCTTGCCTTCGTTTAAATCAAAGATTTTCAATGCTGAAATGATTAAGATTAATATACCTAAGCCTGAGCTGCGGCCAGCATTGATGGAGCTGCGGACGCCAAAACTGACTGGGCCTACGGCGAATACAGCAACAAAAGGCGGCAGCCAAGCAGCTCCTAAGCAGACTTCTTTGAATGGTAAATGGGTTAACTTTATCTCAGATTGAATTTGTTATATTAATAGGTTCCCTCTCGCAGGCACAGATTGGTCGCAGGATGTGCCGGATCAGACAGTGGGTCTGCCGTTGCCCTTGTCGTTGCCGGCTAGTCCACCTCTGCATCTACAGCAAAGCTCACAAGTTGGCACACAGCAAGTCTCTCAGCCCGGCTCACAGTTGACTCTGCCATATCATCAGCCCAAGTTTTATCAGCATCCGCTTGTCTCTGGCAACATACCAGCTATGCTGCCAGCGCTTGGTAATGAGGAGCATCAAAAGCGTTTGCTACTTAAAAAGCCAACAGCTTCCATACTCTCCAATGCAGCAGCAGCGACTCCGCTACACAATGGCGATACGCCCAATGTGAAGAGCACGCCAGCGGAAAAGAACAAAGTCAAGTTCTCAGACACCATTCAGGTGGCTGTGGTGCCGGTAAGCCTAATACATACACTAAATATCTCCCAGTTAAAGCTTTCTGTTTTCTTTTGCTAGGAGATACCACGTAAAGAGAAGCCGTTGCCACCAAAACGCAATGGTTATTCACGCCCTGCAGCCCGACACTTGACCAATCCTCGCAAGGAACTGGCAGATAGTCTACCACTGTGTCATCCAAATGATGAGTACTTAAAGGATTTTAATCCCATTACAACGAGTGAGTAAAATCAAGGCATATACATATATAGTATCATGCAGCTTACGTATAATCTTCTACAGATGTTAGCAAGCCGCCAACGAGAAGGAGGGGTGAGGAGGAGCCATCCAGCAACAGCAAACCGACGTCCAGCTCTTCGTCCTCCATCAAAGTTGTCCACTTTGGCGTTGTCTAACCGTTTATTACATAGTGCAATTTAATTAGTTTAAATAGTTAAGAATTCGTCTTCCATATGTAAACGTTGCCGTCCACTTAGTGCAAAGCTTTAAATAGGAAAAGTTTCTATTTTAAATATGTTTCCTTTCTACAATTTTTACAGATTTATTCAATAAAATAAAAACTAGTTTTTAAATGTTTTTGCCAAATGACAAATGTGTGAAGATTATTTTTTCTTAGTGGGCGTGGCGCCAGCCATGCGCTCCAACTCCGCCTTGAGATCGAGTAGATCCTTATCGGGCACATAGCGTCGTTCGTCATGCTCATCTGTATGCTCCGCCACGGTCAGATGAACGCCCTCCGGAAGCGCCGCCTGTGCAATCCTTAGAAATTGTGGATATACCGGCGCATCCACGTTGCTCAGCAGCAGACTGCGTTCATAGGTCGTCAACTTGTACTCGGACTCAATGACAGTCGAATTGGGTCGCAGGCGTTGCACCTGCGTATGCTGTGGGGGCAAAGCATAGCAGTCGGAGACATCCAAATCGAGATACTCCGCCACACCGTGGAGGAATCGTTGATAGCTCTCGAGGAGTGGGTAATCGTAGCCCTTTATCTGTACATTGAGGCTTTCGTATTGCGGGAACTTGGGCTTGAGGGACTGCAAAATAAATTTACGTTTAATAATTATTCATTTAAATTCATATTTCACATTTCATTAAAACCTCGAGATAGTCCGGCTCATATACACTGTAAGTATTACATCTAGTCGCAATCACAACGGGCTTTGACACTTGCAGCGCAACTCGCGCACTTGGCAATAGCTGTAAATATTAAATATTATAGTTTTAATTTATTACATTTCATTTATTGTTATTTACACGGCGCAGCATTTTGGAATTCACGTAGGTTATGTCACAACAGCTGATTTGTCCATGCGATACGATACACGATCAAGTCGCATGACAAGCGAGTTCAAGCAGCATAACGAATTGATTATAATACATACACTCAAAATTGTAAAGGTATCAGCTTAACAACGATTTTACTGTGTGCTGATAGATTAAATTCTTTCAAAATATATTCAGCCTTTTAAATTATCACTTTCAATACTTCATTCGATAGCAATTGCTTATAGTATCATACCAATCGATGTATCGATAAATCCTACTATATTTTATAAATACGATTGAATGGCAAACTGAGAAGAAGATAAGAAGTAAAATTTTTTTTCGGTTACTGCTAATTTTGCTTTTCAACTAAGGTTTTACAACTAGAACACGTGAAATGGAATCAGCAAATGGTAGAAATCTAGCGCTGCTTGTGCTGTGCCTGTGCGCCTGCTACGCGCTGGCTTTTGAGGGCAAGGAAATACCGGCCACCAAACTCGGTCAGAGGGTGGCGCCTACAATGACTTTTCTTTATTGGTGAGCTGCAAATTAATTACTATTAATTATGTCTAATTTCTTATGTTTGTCCATCGTACAGCTATTCATGTGGCTATCGCAAGGCATTCGAGGACTATGTAAATATTCTGGTTAAGAAATATCCACAGATTGAGATTGTGGGCGCCAATTACGATCCGCCCGGCATAAATTATTACCTGTCAAAGATAATATTTGCTTTAAAGATAATTATTATAATATCTGTGGTAACTTCGGTGAGTCCCTTCACCTGTTTGGGCTTCAACACGCCTGGCTGGTGGAATCATTTGCAATCAAACAAAATATATGCCTGCATGATGATCTTCTTCCTGGGCAACATGATCGAAGGGCAGCTCATTTCCTCCGGGGCCTTTGAGATAACATTAAATGATGTGCCTGTTTGGTCTAAAATACAAACAGGTCGTTTTCCTGCACCTGAAGTGTTATTCCAAATCATCGACAATCAACTTCAGTTCACCGACAGTGTCCAGGAGAATCCCGACTTTGTTAAATAATAGTAGATCACCGAAAATCCAGGGACGGTTCAGATGAAGCGCCTTCTGTTATCCACTAGAACAACAACACCAAAAAACTATACGGAAACGAAAATTGAAGAAATACAAAAGGAACTGGACGTGTGGATATTTAGTTATTAATTAAACTTAACTAAACTATATCTTGTCTCTGCGTTACGTAAAATAGTATATTTGTTTATCTACCAATTTATCTGCTGTACTACTGCTCTTATGTATATCTGTGTAATCTACAAAGCTATATAGTATAAATAATGATAATGAGTGAAAGTGTTTTGAGAGGGCATTGGGGTAGCAAGTGTGGCATATATATATAATGTTTTATATATAATTAAAAACTGAAATAGTGTATGCACTTTGTTTTATATAATTTAATTCAAATCATGCGATACTCAAAAATACAGAAGCAGTTAATACTTGTTAATGGTTGATATCGGCAAATATATGTAGCTGGTTAAATATTTTCCATTGCTTCGCATTGAAGTCGAGATTTTCGAATAAACCTAAATGCCGGCAGTATTTATTTGACATAACCAGCATGTGGTCGTTAACAGAAGGCTTTCACAACTTATATAAGGTGCTTTCGTCAAATGATCTTTTATTTGGCAGCTGCAACTTAGAGTACCTCGAATGAGCCGCTTCTATAGAGGTAAAGCTGCTGCTGCTCACGATTGTTTGTTGGTATTTTAGTTGCTTTAGAAGAGCTGCTGTTTCTAAGCTATCAAAGCTTATAGTTCTAGTAAAATAGTACTCTTAACTCATTGGCACTTAACAGAACTCTTACTTAAATGAAAAGTAGTACAATGCCTTTAGGTATGAATAAATAGTTCACATTACTTTTAAGACGTTTAAATTTTTATTATTTTAAAAACTGGGTTCTGTTCGCTTTGTGTATGTGTGGGTGTGTGTGTGTGTGTTAACTTGTAATCCCTAAATACAAGATATGAACTGAGTTCAATATTAGGGCAGTGGGTTGTTATAGTAGCTTTGCCTCCGCTCGACAGACAAATATTTTGTAAAGTGGTTTTATTTTGTTCGATTCGATTTGTAGATCTTTACCCAGCGAACTTTCGAAAAAATGCCACTGCGCAGGGTATTTGGTATCTCGTTCTATTTGGGGTAGTGTTAGCGACTTAGACATAATTATTTATTATTTTACTGCTACTTAGTATGTAATCGGAGCTGTGGATCTAAGGAGCGTTAGTATCATCGCGCGGATAGCGACGATTTTGGCGAACTCCGCCGTATTGATATGGATTACGATAAGTTTGTTGACGATTGTATTGGCCCGTTGGCGGCAGTGGCTGTGGCTGACGCAATGTTTGAGGTTGCGCACGGTATTCCGCTGCCGGATAGCCACCTGACCATGTGGAGTAGGAGTTTGGTGGTTGCTGTCTGCCTCCTGTTGACCAGGAGCTCGAACTAAAGCCGGCATTGGAGCCAGAGCCAGAGCCAGAGTTGAAGCCGTAACCTGCACCACCAGATCTCGAGTCTGCGCCCAAATTGGCGCCAGCATTAGTTGACCAGCTGGAGCCCGATCTGATGGCAGAGTTGTCTCTAGAGTTGGAGCCAGTGTTGTAGCCCGTGCTGTAACCCGAGTTTGAGCCCGTGTTGTAACCCGTGCTGTAGCCCGAGTTTGAGCCCGAACTGGAGCCGGAGCTATAGCTGGACTGGGATGCAGAAGTCCGCTTGACAGTGTAGAAGCTATCGCCACGACGGCGACACACAGTACATCTAAAGCGAAAATGATACGGTACAGTTTCTAGCTCTAGTTCCAATTAAAGCCACATACCTGCTGATTTTGCTGGTCTGATCAGCCTTTAGGGTTTGCTGGCGTGGCTGCACGAACTGATCTTGTTTCTCGATAACGGCTAGCCAGAAGGAGGCCAAAGCATCATAATAATTGCAACGTCCATGGCCATGGCATTCGATGACAGGATTGGCACGGAATTCCTCCAAGCAGGAGCCGGGTGAGACCAAGTTTTGGCCAACACCACCCGTATTATCCAAGGTCGTCTAAGCAATACAAAAGTCATTAATATTGAGATTGGAATCTGGACGTTTATATTTACCATATAGTAACTGAAGCCTGTCCACATCTCTTCCCAGCCACCTGGACAATCTGGAATGGACATGGATTGCGAATGCAGGGCAATCACGCGCGTTGAAGTCTCGCAAACGACACAGCTAGATAGTGGGTAATCTTATAAGTATGTTATAGTTAGCCGTAGTCTACTTCATGCTTACCGTGAAATATACTTCATGAGGTCTCTGGATTGGATTGGCGTCATGGACATGGGCATGGGCTCAGCTGTAGATAGCCACAAGCTGTCGTCATTGTTCTGAGCATAGTTGCAAACGTTGTTGAAGTCACAGAACATGTAGGGCATGGTGGTAAAGCGCATAAGACAAGAGCCGGATTGTCCCAAATCTTGGCCGATAGCGCGACTGCTGGCCACATTGCCTGACAGCGAATAGCCCTCCCACAACATATTTGTATTGGCTGGGCACGTGGGTATATTAACGGATTGCGAATGTCGGGCGAAAATGAAGCCACGGCTCTTAGGTGGAGGTGGTGGTGCAGCTGGGTCACCTTGTGGGCCGGGCAGACCGCGTAGACCCGGGCGTCCTCTTAGACCGATTTCGCCAATATCGCCGCGTTGGCCTTTAACGCCGTCTGGTCCTTGGTAGCCCATCTCACCATCATCACCTCGATAGCCGACTATGCCACGGAGACCCGCTGCTCCATGCAAGCCAGGTGGTCCAATATCGCCCCGCTCACCCTTGAAGCCATCCAAGCCGGGCTCGCCACGATCGCCGGGTCGGGCGTAAGTGTACGAATAGGTAACTCCTGGTTCACCTTTTTCGCCTGGTAGTCCATCAACACCATCGATGCCACTCCAGCCTGCATCGCCAAGTGGGCCGCGTGGTCCGCGTGTGCCGACTGAGCCAGTGCGGCCTGGTCGCCCACTAGCACCTTCCTCGCCCTTTGCGCCATTGTAGCCAAGCGCACCTTGCGGACCTCTTTCGCCTATGTCACCCTGTTGACCCCAAATGCTGAAGCCGGTTTCACCCATTTCACCTTTGCGTCCTATGTCGCCACGCTCTCCTTTCCTTCCCCTCATGCCGTGCAGGCCATTACGTCCAGGTATGCCTTGATAGCCATAATCTCCGGGCGGACCTTGGGGTCCGATGAGCATTGGTCCCTGTGGTCCTTGCGCTCCATTTAAGCCGTTTTCACCCTGCTCACCAGGTGCACCCTTCTGGCCAGGAGTGCCCGGACGTCCAGGCAAGCCATCGTAGCCAATGTCACCCTCTTCACCCGGCTCGGCAATGAGTCTTTCGCCGATTAAACCCCGCAAGCCCTTGTCTCCTCTCTCGCCTTTCGGGCCTGGTAGACCATCAAGGCCAGCAGGACCCTCGAATCCGATATCACCCCGCTCTCCACGTGGACCAGGATAACCAATAGCACCAATCATGCCAGGTGGACCCGTTGGCCCCTGAAGTCCTCTCAATCCATTATCTCCAGGCGGACCTCGCATATCAGTTTGGGAGCCAATATAAATGACCTCACCAGCGTCACCGATATCACCACGATCTCCGATTTCGCCTCTGTTGCCAATTTGACCATATTCACCCGGTAATCCTTCATCGCCCTGAATTCCATGTTGGCCTGGATAGCCGACATCGCCAATATCTCCAATTTCTCCAGGTAAACCAGGGAGGCCTATTTCTCCGGCCTCACCCTTAAGGCCGTCAAGGCCATTGCGTCCGGGATAGCCATTCGGGCCATCATCGCCTTGATCACCAACAATTCCTGGTTGGCCAGTATATCCAGTATCCCCACGTTGTCCTTTCAGACCGTCCAAGCCGGGCAAACCATTGCGACCAGGCGCACCAACCTCGCCTTTTGGACCTGGCAAACCATCAGAGGCGGGCATTGAATCGCCTGGCTCACCACGTTGGCCCTTAAAGCCCATTGGTCCATTGTAGCCGGGTGGTCCTTGCCATCCGGGATCGCCTTGATCACCTTTGATACCACTGTAAGCGGAGACACCCTTAGCGCCGCGACGTCCGGGTACACCTTGATCACCTTGCACGCCCTTAGTACCAGGTACACCCGGGATTCCCGGATATCCGAAGGGCCCAATCTCCCCTTGAAGACCTGCAAAATAACAAAATTTAGTCATTTATACAAATTGTATACTGATTGGGTATATCAACCTTTAGGACCGAACTCGCCGACAAGGCCGCGGGGACCAATATCTCCAATGCGTCCATCAAATCCAATATCTCCACGATCTCCTTGCTCACCGGGTATACCATCTAAGCCGGCGGGTCCTGGCTCGCCCGGATATCCAGGCACACCTGCATCGCCAATGGGACCGCGACGACCTGGATATCCAATGCTGCCCTTGGCGCCATTCTGACCAACTTGTCCACGAGGTCCAACTTCACCCTTTTGACCCTTAACTCCATGTGGGGCAATGCTGCCTGGACGACCAGGCTCACCCTGTCGTCCTGGGGGTCCAACGACAATGTCGCCGCGCTGTCCCTTGTTACCAGGTAAACCCCTAAGGCCCTCGAGGCCATTGTCTCCAAGCACTCCTTTGATACCCTTTGGTCCGGGCGGGCCTCTTGGGCCAGGATAACCTATGGGTCCCTCATCTCCAATGATGCCCTTAACGCCTGGTCGGCCGGGCACACCGATTTCTCCAGGAAGAATATATTGACCAGGTTCGCCACGGAAACCTTTTGGGCCGTCCAATCCTGGCAAGCCGGGTTCACCATCCCTACCCGGCTTACCGGGCATACCATGTGGACCATAGTCACCTATTTCACCCTTATAGCCCTTGGCTCCTGGGGGTCCCTGGAACACTTCACCAGGTAATCCCATATCACCCATTATGCCCTTCAGACCCGGCTCGCCAGTCTCTCCCTTGGGTCCACGGAAGCCAGGCTCTCCCGGATATCCAACATCACCAGGCTCGCCACGATTCTCAATTATTTCACCAGGATGTGGCTCACCTTTGTCACCCTTGAAGCCGGGGCTGCCAATATCACCACGTACGCCCCTGAAGAAAAATACCATTTTAAATATATAATCGATAGAATTGAAGACATAACTTACTTTTTACCATTGTAGCCTGGTTCGCCCGTTAAGTAAAACTTTGGTGTGGATGGTGGTGTACCTGGCTTACCATCGCGTCCATCAATACCTGGTAATCCGTCCTTGCCGGGACGACCGGCATCACCGAAGTCACCACGAAGTCCGGGCTCTCCTTTAGCTCCGGGCACGCCGGGCCAGCCATCTTCTCCCCGATCACCCTGTTGACCTTGATCACCGCGGCGTCCATTGTCACCACTATCGCCCTTTTCTGTTTCTCTTAAGCTGCCGGTGTACTCGACACGGCCGGGCGGACCTTGTTTGCCGGGGCGACCCACCTCACCAGGAATGCCATCTGTACCTCTGATACCTTGATGGCCAGGCACACCTGGTCTGCCACGAATGCCCTTGGGTCCTCTAGCGCCCGTGATGCCCGCCATGCCGCGTGCACCGTGTTCGCCTGGGTAGCCAGCATCACCTATTACGCCCTTCATGCCACGTGGTCCGGCATGGCAAATGCCACAGTCATCACCTCGTATGCCTTTGTCACCAGGACGCCCACGGAAGCCGGGTGCACCGTCTATTCCGGGTATACCACGTTTGCCAGGTGGACCTTGCGAGCCAGGTGGTCCAACAATATTCAATCCCTCACCGGGCAAGCCCTTGTCACCGGTTATACCGACTTCTCCACGATCTCCGCGATAGCCATCGACGCCAGGAATTCCATTCTGACCAGCTTGACCTTTTGGTCCGTAGAGGTCGAGACCTGGATTGCCAGGGAATCCAGTGCGGCCAGGAGGTCCAGCCACTCCGGGTGGACCTTGTGGACCGGGTGGACCCATCAATCCGTAGTCACCTTGTTCGCCTTTCTGGCTGCGTCCCGGTGGGCCACGATTGCCACTCAGTCCTTGTTCACCAGGTGGTCCAGGTGGTCCATGTGGACCGCGACGTCCTTGCTTACCGGGTATGCCATTTAAGCCTGGATTACCAGGGGGTCCAAGATCGCCTTGTGGTCCAACTGGACCGGGCAGCGACTTATCCAAGGTGGGATCGTAGACACCTGGTGGTCCTTCGGGTCCCTGAACACCGGGAGTGCCATCGAAGCCGTCCTCACCACGTTCGCCTGGTCGACCATCTTCGCCATTCTCGCCACTGTAGCCAGGTGAGCCCTTCATGCCTTTTTCGCCGGGGCTGCCTTGTACGCCATCACGACCAGGCTTTCCTCGCTCTCCACGCTCGCCCATTTCGCCTCTAGGACCTGGCAAGCCGCTGCGTCCTACTGGTCCTGGCTCGCCTGGCATGCCGGGCGGTCCTTGATCACCGCGTGGCCCAGCAAAGCCTTTATAGCCCTTGAGAGTTTCATCATAGCGCAAAGCTCCAGGCTCGCCCTCGCCAGGCTCGCCCTTGTCGCCCACGACGCCTTGCAACATTGGATAGCTCTCCGGCACGCCCATCTCACCTTTATAGCCCTTTGGTCCCTGCTCACCCTTGTGGCCCTGAGCGCCAGCGAAGCCAATGTCGCCTTTGTAGCCGGTAGGGCCTGGAAAACCAGGCTGACCGTCGACGCCATCAGCTCCCCGCACGCCAATACTACCCTTGGTTCCTTTGGAGTTGATGCCGCCTTCGCCAGCATCACCAGTTTCACCAGGCGGGCCTGTCTTGCCCATTGGGCCACGAGCTCCATTCTCACCAGGCGTACCAGGAATTCCTTGGTCGCCAGGACGACCGTCGCAACCATCGATACCACGTGGTCCGGCAGTTCCATCATCACCAGGAAAGCCCTATAATACACAAATGTTACCCAACGCTCTAAGCAGATGCTGTCAAAACTTACGGGAGCGCCCGGCAAACCATTCAGGCCTTGATAGCCAATGTCACCCTGGAAAAGGTAAGGTTAGTACTCGTAATAGTTCAATTGAATACTAAATTTGTTAGAGACTTACGCGATGTCCCTTTTCGCCCGTTTCGCCGTATTCACCGAAATCGCCTTTTTCGCCGACACGTCCGGGCGGACCAGGCGGACCCACATCACCGGGCGAACCCTCACGACCGGGCACACCCTTAAAACCAAAGCCGCCTATACGTCCTTTGATGCCTTTGCAGTCGCACAGCGTTGTATTGCATTCCTGAAAAGGGCGAGAGGAAACAATTTAAATTGATTCACTTGATTTCGTATATTTAATTTCGAAACTATATTCAAATAAAATACAAAAATATATATGGATATGTGGTTTTATACATATAATGGGTAATTGAATTTCGCACTAGAGAACGCGTCTTGATTGCCTTGATTGATTAGCAGTCATCATTCTTAATTGAGTTCCATAGATTTATTTAAGTGTATCATGCCCATAACTGTTAGCAACTGTCCTAATTCGAATTGAATAATAATACTCATGTTTCTCAGTTCTTCTTGCTAGTAGCACATATAGAATCAGAAATATATACCATAAATTCTCGATCTACCTTTCTAGCTGGCTCTCCTACATTCTAGTATATCGCTTAAATAAAGACTACGTTGAAAGATACACATCGTAAGGCACAAAGAATTTCAAGGATTCCCCCCATGTGAGAGGCAGAGCGAGGAGCTGCAGCGAGAGGCAGAGGTCGGCCCATCTAGTATTACGAATGGGCAGTGTTAATTGCCGTTTGTGCAACGACTATTTTTAGAGGCAGTCTTCAATTAAGAGCAATCATATTACACACTTAATGCTTTCAGCATTCTATGCTTTATGCACTTTAGATATTTTTTGCCGATTTAACCATAACAATAAGAACAACAACAATGCCAGCAAATGCATCTTGCAACTTGTGGCATGTGCCCCATGGGCTATGAAACAGTTCAACACTTGCAACTTTGGCGAACCGGGTGAAATCTGAAATGTTTGCTTTAATTGCACAATTGCCGTCAGCAATGAGATAATCCCCTATGAATATATATGTATGTACCTATACACACATATGTAATATATATATAAACATGTATATGTATATGCTTCATTGTTTGCAGCTGCAAATTATTTTCCTTTACCGCCGAAAACTCTATTAAACATGGTCACTGAGGCGAGCGACAGCGCAGCATAGATTTGTTTAGGAATAAATACAATACAATCACTGAGTCTAGGTATTTAAAAAATACTAGAAAATGCAAAGTACAATAATACACCATATATAGAGCAAAGATTTGTACCAGTATATGCCGATGTATATAATAAATAAATAAGTATATATATAGTTGGACTAACGAAATTCTATCAAAATACATAAGATCTATTCGTAAACTTGATTATACTTAGATTTATCTCTACATCCTTAAATTGAACTCTGTTTTCATCTATATATGTATATATCTATGTACTTGATATATCTATGTATTAATCGATATGCTCAAAATGTTCTATAATTTAGGAGTAGTTAATAAGAACTACTATGTATGCATAGCAGTGTAATCAGCCTTCACCTCGCAATTTTAGCTCTAGATCTGAAGCACTTCCTCAATATATAAACGCCTAGGAATTTGAAAAACAAATATTAGTTTTGAAAATCGGTGCGCACTCAAGCATTAGTTCGCATCGAGCAGTTTATAGTCATGCTGCAGTTGGTATGTTCCATTATTATTACGGCTACAAAATATTCCAGTTCACATAAACCTATTTCGTAATGCTTGCGTGCGACCTCCAGGCACTTCGAGTGCCCATTAAAATTGCATTTCAGATTTGAAATGAAATCTTTTTTTTCTGCTTCTTCTTCAACCTGATTCTCGAAAAACTTCTTGTGCGACATTTGCATCGTTATAAACATCCTTAATTTGTTTAGTAATTTTAGCGATTATTAATAGAATTGACATAACTTTCAGCGTTTTAGTTCAGATTTATGACACGGCATATTTGCCAGATGAAACAAAACCCAAAAGAAAAGAGAGCAAATAATCGAAACACATGTCGAACGCATGTTCCAAAAAACAAAAATTGAGTTTGAAGAAAACATTGATGTCAAATTTTTTTTTGTGTTTTTGGTTTTGTTTTTTGCTTTGCGAAAATTGTTCAAATAAATTGAAAAACTGTTGGCTAATAAAAATAATTATCGAGTGCAGCGTATTTTCCACACACATTTTCCAGCTGCACGCGAGGAGAATTCAACTCAACGAGTTCAAACGCAAAACTTCCGAGAATTTAGGCCTCGGTGCGAGATCAAACCATCTGTTAACCAAATATGCAGATGACGTGTAAATCAGAAAATCACAAAATCGTAACATAAACAACTCACACAAAACACAGAGAGACTATGAAAACGGTTTTTCCTTTTTTCGTGTGTGGTAAGCCAGAAGATTTTGTTTTTGCCTTCCATCAAAAAAAATAAAAGAGAAGAGAAAACGCAGACGAAGACCAAAAATATAAATTCACAATGCATATGCCAGGTGTATGCTGCAACTGTGTGTGTGTGAGTGTATACATATATATATATATATATATATATGTGTGTGTGTGTGGCATAGTTAACACGGCAAGCAATTGCACTCAATTTCTGGAATATGTACGAGTTGTTCATGTGAGAAGAATCGCAGCTCAATAAAAGCAAAAAAATCCCAAGTGAACCGCAAAAAGTAAAAGAACAAAGAAAATAAATTAGAATTGTTTGCATGGACTATTTATACTGATGAGATGTTGAGCGGTAAATATGATATATAGTTGAAATTGGTTAAGATATATGTATATGAATTTTCCCATTTTTTTTGACTGATTAAACTTAACTTATGGAATACTAATATAGATAGATTAGAAATAGGAATTGGTAACGGGAAATAGTTATCGATCAGTTTATCGTTCACTGTGCTCCCATAACTACTTTATGGGAACTACCAAGCGTCTTTACCAATAACCAATATATTATGCTATTTCATGTTCATATTTCAATTAAATAAGTTTTATTTGAATTTACATTGATTCATTTAAATCTCATGTATTTGTTGCTATGAAAAATGCAAGTTTTCTTTGTAATATCTAAAAATATGTTATAATAAATTTTGTTTGTGGCAACAATGAATACGGTTCATATTTTATATTCCCCATTGCAAAATACATGCACATATGGAATCGCCTGCAAGAGTCGACTCGAATTACACGCGTTTCCATATAAGAATGAAAAAATGTGAAAACAAGTGTCTCTCGTCTGATATTTCTTGTCGAAGCCATCCATAGTGCATAGCCCATATCCCATATCTGGTTAGTAATATGATTTATCTACCTGATCGACCTGCTCGATCGAGGGCAACATTTTCACACATTCCTTCCATTGAAAAGGCAGCAATTGAAAACCCCAAAGTTCATTCAATCAATTGCCCAACCCGAAAGAAGCTCACGAAAAATTCCAAATGCACTTTTTTTTTTTTTTTTTTGTGAACAGGTTTGCAAAACAGACAGCGCTGCAGTTCCCTTGAACTTGACACCCAACATATACCCAGATATTATATATATTATGTACTCTATATGTATATATACTATATATGGGTATTTTGATGGGCTCCACAACATAGAGCGCATTTAGCTCGGTCGCAGACAATGCGACAAGTGGCGTTGTTTTATGTGAAAAATAATAAAAAAGACAAACAAGATCGCTGCACTGGGGCGTTACAGACTGCATAATACACGTTCAAAATCCAGATCTGAAAAAAATTACATTCCCAAAGGCAACTGGAGGTAATGGATCTCTCTCTCTCTCTCTCCAGTTCCAAAATATGTATGTATAGCGAAGTTCATTACTATCTAGATAATTTTAGCACAGCATAACATACTTGATCATCACCCAATATGCCCACTTTGCATATGTGAGCGAGTATTGAAAAAAAAAAAAAACTATATAGCGCAAGACTTGACCAATTTATGAGCTGCATAATGTTCTACAAACTTGTATACAGTGCAAATTGTTAACGTCAGCAAAACAGACAGAGACAGGGCATAAATGCAAAAAATGTGTTGGGAACCTAAATGCGCTATATACATACGTATATAGATATACATTTTTATATATATATACGGTACATTTATATATATATTTTGATATGGCTATAGGTATTGGGGCACGCGTGTGGACCCTGTTTGAGGATCTCATTTACTTTGCGAATTGAGCAGGTTATGTACGTATAGCTTAGATAGCAGAAATTTCAGAGAGCGACCATAAGACGGCAAATATGTTCAAGCAATTGCAATTGCTTAAGCACTTTCAATATGAAGTATATGAATTTCCCATTTAAATTGGATGGTTTACTAAGTTATGTAATGGGCATTCATTAAACAGGAAATTTGTATAGCTTTAGAATATTATTTTAAATATACATTTGTATATTGAGAGTCAGATTTATAAACCATTTACATCATGATCAATTTGAGTTAATGAACTAGAAATTCTTATTGTCTTCATAAAGCTAAGAATCGCAGACACTATATTTCATCATATAGTTGGAGTTCTTAATCATGAGCTAGCTTTTATACAATAATCCCTGATGAATACTTCAGCTCGATCAATTATTTAACAGTTCAAACGAACAACGAACTCATGAACTTGTTAAATCACTTGAGTAATTAATTGAATTAGCGGACCTAAGAGCGACGCTCATGACCCACTGAACTACATATGTCACATGTATCGATCACCGATGACTGATCACCGATCACTGATAACTGATAACTCTCAATCAAGTGTACTTCCGATCGCTAAGCAGCAGCTGCAGTGGGCAACATGTGAAAAAGGCGAAACGCTAACAGACAAAAGCTGCCTGCTATGGCAAGGGCCAGACGACGCGACGCACGTGGCGCCTGCCGCAAAAGAGGTTTACTATGCGTATGAGTGATGCTTGTATAGGCATATACACTAACATACATACATATGTATGTATATGTGTATGGGAAATAAATATATATATATATTATATATTCTTGATATTTCCACATGATTTGTGTCAGCGGCTTAGTTAAGCGCATTTGCACATGTTAAGGCCAATTGTGAGCGCATCTCTCTCTCTCTCTCTCTCACACACTGCCTCTACCTCTCTCAACTATTAAGCTGCATTTGCGCTGCAGTTTAAGGTCAAAGTTGTCAGGCCTCCAGAGCTCTATCACAGCGACAATTG